AACTCCTGCTGCTATGTGCACCCTGGGAGGGCATGGGGGGTGCCCTCAGACAGGATCTGTGTGCAAGGTGAGGGCGAGCTGGGGCAGCAAGCTGGGGCAGCACTGAGCTCTTCCCAGTGCGGGGCTGGATCAGACTGCACTCCGGGCAGGCTGATCCGATATGGTGCTCCTCTAGAAAATACTAAAAATTGAGAGGAGCTACAAACCATTGAGAAAAAGTCCCAAATAAGTTGGAAAGGTTAGTGATAAAGGCCTGACAGAAATTAGTTTTTGCTTGTTCATGTTTAGTCAGGAGGAAAGTTTGTATACCGAGGTCCAAGACTGGTCATGTGGGAAGGGAAGTATAATGAAATGCTTAGTCCCTTCGGCAATAGCCAAAATATGCTTTCAGGTACTCAGGCTCCAGGACAGCAGGTCAGCCTCTGTCCTCAGTGTGCACATGCCTGGCAAAAGCAGCAGGCGCTGCGGGAATGCACACACTTATTTGGCTAGAGTCAACACCCACATCCAAGTTTGTATCTTGGGGTGACAGCCAAAAGGAAAGGGTGTAGGACAGGGCTCCTCCTTCATGTAACTTTGACAGGACAATGGTTTTCAATAGGCACTAATTTAAAGCTGGAACATAAGGTGCCTCAGCTATTTTTTCCTGAGTCCTTTGAGTTAAGGCTTTGTAGGACACACTGCTTTTGCCTCAATCTCCCTCTGATGAAGACCCCAGGTAACAGCAGAATGCCGCAATTCTGCTACAGCCATGCAGGTCACATAACCAGATAGTGAGGCAACACCACAAGCTCAGGCCTAGTAACAGCAGCTCCTCAGCATCATCTTGCTAAAGGGTCTGCCTCCTTAAAGGATTGGGAAGACTTTCCTTTGGACTCAATTTGGTTAAGTAAAAACTAATCATTCTAACAACCTTTCTAGGTCATTTCATATTTTAGTTCCTAGCTGTGTCTGCATACCTGCCTGGCTTCATTTATATTACAGTATCACCTACCCACAGTAGGTAACCGTGTTATTGAACCATTGCATCTTTTTGACTTTGGTTTAAATGCTAGAGAAAATGGCTCTCTCAATACCCAAATACATTCTGCCTCCAGACTACCTGGAGTACAAGTGGCAATTCCAGTACCTACAATCACTAAAAGCTTTTATTTCAGAAATATTATTCCCTTCCATTTCAGCAAACTATATCAGATAAATGCCCTACAATGGGTCTCTCCAGCTAGTCACCAACTCAGTACCCTCACATTTTAAAATAATAATGAAGTGCAGTGATGTAAACCAGGGCCAGCCCAAGAAAACTAAACGCATCTCAAACAAGAAAGCACATAGCTCTTCACAAACGTAAGCCTAGAATATTTCCTAATATGCCCTTCCCCGCCCAAAAAAAGCCAACCAAACTGTCCCTATGATTTGCCAAAAGGATGTAAAAGGAAGAAACATTCTCTTAAATTACTTTTTCCTACTGAAAAAGGATGTTCTTAATTACCTTGAAATTCCCCAACTATCCACTACAGCTTTTTGTTTGGCCCACTAAAATTATTTCTGGAAGTACCTGTTAAAGCACTTGAGATCAACAGGCCACAGAGTTAGCAATCAAAGTTATGACATATGTGGAGCACAGCAAACAAGGGAAGGTAGGATAGCTTTATGGGTCCAGAAGCAGGAGATGCCTGCCTTTTGTGACAGCTCCTATGCCATGTCAAAGGAATGACCAAGTTTGCTGCAATTTTTAGTCAAATGCCTGGAATACAAACAGAATCCTTTGATGAAAGTAATGTTTAGACTTGATATTTTAACAGTAAATATTTTGATAAATAGACTAAAAGGGACTAATTTTTATTTGTGGCTTCTGCAGGTTTCCTACTACTTTTTACTTCTAAGGAAGTGGTACAATACTACAATGTTACAGAGAGATGGGCCACACCAGGGTATATACCCTGATACACAGGAGGGCCACACTGTGGTCCTACTGTACTGCAATCTGACTATGGCAAAAAAAACAATGACTTAAAACAGTTAGGCTTCAGTTTCCCATAATTCATGACAGAGCAGGAGCAAGCTTCTTAAGTAAAAAAAAAAGGGGAAAGAGAGAACACAAGTACCTACCAGACTTAAAGAGCTGGGTTATTTGTTGAGAGTCTGTGTCAAGAATCAAAACTTAGCTGGCTGGTTTTTTGGTTGTTTTTTTTTTTTTTTTTTTT